GGAAAGAGCCACGGGGCATTATGTGCACTAAAACAAGAAGGTAAAGCAGCCTCTGCTGTTTTTCTATTTCAAACACAGCAAGCACTATAATATTGAAGCAGCAGGAGCAGAAATGTGGTTTCTTAAAAAAACACACAAAGAATGAGAATGCTGTATCAAGAATGTTTGAAACCTTTCATGTTTAAAGAGCTTTGAAAATAATCAGTGGTTTTGTCTACCCTGAATCATCAAGACTAAGAAAATATGCAAGAACCAATACTTAAGCAAGCATACTGTTATACAGCAATGTGGGCAACTTCCCTGCAATAGCATCGATGAAGCTATCTGCTTACAAATATTCTTTTCAAGCTCCTTCTAAATATGTATCCTAAATCAATAGTTGTCAACCCAAGCATTACATAGTCCTGGAGGTCCAAGGGCAGTGCAAGGAGGTGCAAAGCAGCAGAAAAGCAAGCCCCCTGTGGGTAGGTTTAATACAAATGTCTTACCCCATTGGGATAATGGTGAATCTGGATAGGCAGGTCTTGGTACATTGAGTTAAGTGTGATCCCATGTTTCAGATCGTCTGTGAGGACCCGTTTGTTCACCATGTGGTAGCGGAGGGCGTTGAGCAGCTCAATGTTAACGTTACTGACTAAGGAATCCAGAGTTTCCTGAAAATCAGAAAAATTCATTTTTCAGTGCTGAGTGCAATTAAGCCAGTTGTTAGAGAGAGCCAGGAGGTCTGGCTGCATCCAGGGTGCTTCCAAGGGGGGGGGGGTGTGCATGTATATTAAGTGATGTATTCAGCCTTAAGCCATCTGTGTAAATTAAGAGCTCTAACTTTTATAATTCTTTATCTTTTGCCTTACAACAGCTGCTAGCAGCTCTGGTACCCCCCATCCTTCCTTGGCAGATGAAGGGATGATGGCAGCAGTCTCCAGTGTGGGATCGCTTCATCAAAATGAGCAGTAAGGCAACAAAAGGCATCACTCAAGGCCAAGGACAAATACACCAGAAGACCTTCCCCAACAGCATCATCCCTGCAAGGGGCTCTGCTGGTGCATGTTTAGGGTAGAGGCTTGGTAGTGGGAATAGCCGAAAAGGTGCCCCCTCCCTGCCCCAATAGTTGTTCTTACATATTTATGGACAAGTGATTTAAATGTGGGATGTAACTGGATAGGGGCTGTACAATCGGGACTCTTCCCTGTTCACAGAGATGCTCCGCTAGGATGGGAGCACTAGCAGGACAGCAGTGACAATTTCAGGAGTGGAAATTTCACAAGACACAGAGTGAGAAAATCAAAACCAACGTAAAGGAAATTTGTATGTAATTGAGCATAGGAAAACACTGATGGAGGAAGGCTGCAGGTTTACCAAGGCTCTGGTTGGGACTGGCTACTTGTGCAAATTATTAAGAGCAACCAGAGCGGTAAAGTAAGGGTCAACAAGAAGAACCAAAAGGGATGGAAAATCTCTTGCCGCAGGTCTTATTGCAATCTGTAATGGTAAGAAGCAGGGAAAACTGAACAAGGTGATTTTTACATTCACCTGCTGGAGAGCACCCACATCTCTCTAGTGTCAGGTCTTTCAGAAACAAAGCTCTGGAGCTAATGGACCAGTACAGTGATTCCCATCTTAGAAATTCATAGTCCTTCCCACATCAGGACTGTGTCTGTTCTACTAGATAGGGCTGGATCCAGACCCCTGCAGAGCTGGATCTCCACTAGAGAAAGCCAGAGGAAGAGGAGAAAGAAGAGGAATTGTATCTTACAGCAGACAAGGATGCCCAGGCCTCATTACTTGGGGCAAAAATTGTAAAACTTCCAGGTCCTTCAATTTCTGGCCTTAGGTTAGACCGGTCAGAGTAGAGCTGTGTGGTGGCAGACCCAACAACTCCCAGGGTTTCATAGATGTTTGAAAGCGGCAGCGCTGAAAGAAGAGAAGGTTATGTTCCAAACACATCATTCATCCTTCCCTGCACTGCGCTGAATTAAAGGAGTGCTGCTGGTGAGAATGCTTGGGGAAATGAAGCACGTCAGGGAACTCGTATCTGTTCATTAATTAGATAATAAATACTCATAGCTTGACAGCTCCAACCTCAATTACAGCAGCGTAATTCAGGATCTACTGCATCTCTGCAGGTTTAAATAGAGTTACACTGGATTTATATGGATGTGAATTGAGGCAAGCAAAAGATATTCATTGCTTTCACCCAATCCTTGTTTGTACTCAGGCTTTTGATGCTCAGAGCTGGCAGCTCACCGCTGGTCTCAGTCTCCACTGACCCGGCTGCACCAGCCCACATGATTAACTGGGTGGCATCAAACTTTTGTGGAAGGAAGCATTCAGAAAGCAAAAGCAAAATATATCTTTGTTCAATAAAGCCAGTTAATTCCCTCCTGACTCTCACCAGTGGCTGAACTGTATTTTCTCCTAAATGCAATTTTGCTAAACTCATGCTTGCCAAAATAAAAACGAGCAGAGATTGGCAGAGCTGTCTGCTACTCTATCATTCCTTTGTATTGCATTTCCAATACAGCTATATTACTTGTTGGAATAAGTAGTTCCCTATGGCCCTCCCATGCTTGATTAAGTTTAATTATATCCAAGGTTTTAAGTTGTCTGGAACATTTTGCATGCTTTGGAACTGATCTGGCACTCAGCTGGTGCTCTGTTGAGTCCATTTTTGACTTGTTCATGGCACTATTGTGCACAAATTGAAAAAATCAAATCCACTTTGAGTAATTTTCTAACATTTCCCTTTACTAGGCAGCTGTATAATTTTAAGAAGTCTAAAAAATGTCAAACATATTTTTACCAGCTGGGCAGCCTTTTTCTCCAGGAACTTTTTCATATCCAGGACAGCACTCGTAACTGATTACTCTAGAAGAAGAGATGGATACAGCAGATTAACTGATGGCGTCTCACTGCTCTTTTCTCTATTCACTATAGTTCTGTGTCCACCCATATTTGGTGATGTTTCTTTCTAAGCAGACTCTTCATTAGAAATATAGACTTGAACAAAAGACAAACCACAATTTTTATCTCCTTCAGGGCTGCATGTTGCCAATTTCTCCACAGAACAAAAGCAGACACAATTTCTTTTCAAAACCACACTTTCCAGGAGACTTTGTACAAACACTGGATGGAAACCAATGCCATGGTCCCAACAGATAATCTGTGCAAGACACTGCAGATGCTGGTTCATTTGGGCATGTTTCCTGCAGGATTTTGGGATCTCCCTGGCTGACTGCTGCTGTCACATCTGATCACTGTTTGGGCAACATGCTGCAACTCTGGTATGGCTGCTTTACCAAACCAGCCAACCATTTCCCCTTCCTTTCACTCCATTCTTGTCCACCACCAGAAATTATTTGCTTACTTATGGCAAAATCCACAAGACAGACCTGGAGGGGAAGGAGCATCCCTGGTCTTGGATGCACTGGCACAAGGGCTTTGGATAAGCCCTGCAAGGACAAACTTCACCAGTGGTGGCATGTGCATCCATGGCACCCCTAGGCAGTACCACAGCACACTCATCTTTGCTAACACTGGGTATGCCCGTGCAAGCACCCTCAGTGCACCATTTCCTTCTGGCTGGCAGCAAGCTGCTGCTCTGATCGAGCACTGTCCCCCAGTAAAACCAAAGGGGCCAGAGACCCCATCCTGGGGACTCGGGGCTGTCCTGCAGATTTGCAGACCCTAAATGAGGAAGAGCTGCCTGAATGCCGTGTCCATTGTCTGCAGCTCAATGGGAAATAAAAGTCATCTGATTCTCAAAGCTGGCCATTTAATGGAACATGTTTTGATATTAACATGGGGGGGCGGGGGCGAAAAAGGAAAAAATCAATCCAGAAGTTGCCCATTTAATTTTCACAGGGGATTCTTTCATCTATTGCTCTTATGCTTGGTGTGAAAGGAGCAAGGCCATTTGATTGATAGGCTAAAGACAGCGAGGGAATAGGTGTTCCTCCCAAAGACAAGCATTTCCTCTGTGCTCCCGGTTGGATTCGAGACAAGTAGGATGCTGTATCACCGAGCCTCAGCACACTCACTTAAAGAGAAAGGAAAATCCTCAAGCTTCAGATATTTGTCATCATTTTAACACTGTTAACAAACAGTGGAAATGCCTGGAGTTTAAGAGGGAATTCTTCAGGGTAATTAAGAGCCAGTAAGTGAAACAAATACCTGCTTTTCTGTGACAGAAGCAAATAAATTCTGTGTCATGGTTTCCTAAGAGAATTACAAAGCAAACCCAGACTGATTGTCTAGACATTATATATTCCATGTGGGAAAGAGCTTACCCCCCTGCCGCTCCACTTTCCCCAGCCCCCCCGTCTCGTGTTCATTAGAAACACACACTTTCTCCCCCTGCCACTTCCCTCCCCCACCTCCGATTTTTCTTTTTTTCACCCTAGAAACTAAATCCAGTCTAGACAGTTCCCTTGGTTCAGACCTGTAATCAAAGCCGAAGAGCTGATTAAAGAGAAATCATTCCAAAGTTCAGCATAAATAATTCCTGAGTGCTGACGTAAGCTTTAAAAGGCTTATTTATAGATCGATCAGAGATTAATGAGCTGTGACGAAGGGGCAGGACGCTGATGCACACAGCCTGCAGCACAGGGAGCTTGCCGGCTCGGGGCTGCCCTAGCAGCTAGGCGCCTGCTGGGAGGCGAGGGCACCAGGAAGGGATGGAGGGACTGTGCCGCCTGCTTTTCAGCGGGTTCATGGGCATCTCCAGCACCAGCCCACAAGGGAAGCTAATGGCAAGAAGCACTGAGGCCAGTAATGGGGCCAGCTGCACCCGTGCAGGGGCTTGTTCAAAGCCCTTGGTCTCACTCGCCCACTGAAGGTGACCTACCAGCATCACCTGGTATGCATTTTGCATGCCAGCATTTTGAGTTGAGTACCAGAAAACTTCTGCAAAGGGCCAGGTGAACACAGAGGTGCTCACCCAAGTGTTTGCACCCACAAGGAGCTAGAGATGAGGACTGTAAAAATCAGCTTCAGCATCAGCCATTTGCCCTCCCATGGCTGGTGGACTTGGTGGAAGCACAAGACCACCCAGCCCACCCAAAGGCACATGGGCACCGTTCAAGGGACCGCTCAGGTTCAGGCACAGGGCATCCTCCCAGCTGGTCCTGCAGCCACCTCCAGCACAGCAGTGGCTGAAGGCTGCTCTGCCTCACTTGCAGGACTCTGCATCTCGATGCTACAGTACTCTACACATCCATATGGGAGGAAGGCTGCTCCTTTGACATGTCCTCCTCCAGCTGGGTTGAAGCCACAGTTTGCTGCCCAGAGAGGAGTATTTCTCTTACATGGCCAGGGGCAAACAGCTCGTGGGAGAAAACACTGAACACTCGCAACCACTGCACCGCGTGGTGGGTTCTGCACAAACACCTTTGGAGTTGCCAAGTCCATCCCTGTTTCTGGTGTCTGCTCAGTGGCTACAGATCGCTACACCAGGACATGGCAGATGCCAGCGATGTGGGTTAAATAAGCAATGCCCTTGTACAAAGAGCATTTGTCATCCACTCCGCAACGCCTCTGACCACAATTTCCTGACCTCCTCATTGAATAATTTCAAGTCAAATCTGTAGTTTTTCAGCCTCTGGTTTTGAAACACTGTATTTCTTAAATGTCTATCTGTGTCTGATGGCAGAAGCAAGCTCCCTGGCTTTTATTAGTCATTGTTTCACTGCTGTTGCATTCTTAGGATCTGAAATTAAATTTTAAGTGCATTTTTCAAGGTAATAAAAATAAGCTTAGGCATATATTAGTGAATAAAGATCCATTTGTAATAATTTCCTGTAATAAAACCCATATGTTTTGTTTTTGTAAAATAAGTGCCAGAGAGTAAATTTTTTTCCTGAACTGAGGAAAGTACATGAGACAAGAAAAGGAAAGTTAATTTAAGAGGAAAAAAAGGAACATATTAAGGGGCAACTTACTGCCACTAGTTATTCCTCAAAAAATAATAAAAAAACCAAATTTATGTAAGTTGTCTTTTCATTCTCAAGACAAAAAAGTGTGTGGGGACGCATTCAATTGCAACCCAATTCTGGAAGAATGAGTCCAGTGCATAAGGGAGGTAGAAAATAGAAAAAACACAGGAACAACTGTGCGAATATACTCTAAATAAACTATTTCTTTGGCTTTAGAATAACCAACAGTGGAAAATTACCTAATTACCAAAACAATCTTGTTTCAGTGCTCATTAAAATCAAAGCACTGTCAGACTTCTTGCCAACTGTTTTATCTCACTTCATCAGCAAGTAATGCAATGATAAAAAATGTACATAAATCCTCTATCTAATTTCTCCCTAACTCCATGAGCCAATACTTCAGCAAAGAGAAGAAAAACAAAGAAAAAAAAAAGGCAGATAAAGAGGTAAGAGTCCTCTTCTGATGCACGAGTTGAAATTTCCATCATGCACATCCAGCGCCAGTAGAGCACTCCACCCCCACGGACCAAAAGATGCTGCTCAAGAAGCAAGCCTGCAAAGCCTCGCCACCAAGCCTCTGCCTTACAGCCGTAACCTATTTGTTTCTGGTAAGAGCTATGGAGCAACTCAGCACTGCGCCTGCTGCAGCCCGGGGTGACTGTGAGCACTCTCAGCCGTGAGCCTGGAGCAGCAACCGAAAGGTGATGCACCTGGAGACAAGACTAAAGACCAGGCACATCCACGTCTTTTGAGCTGGCTTTCCTTGCTGCTCCAGTCACTCTGTGTCGCCCCGTGCATGATGTGATCATTCAAGAAGGAGTGAAGTTATGACTTACTGCTACAGGCTTGCAGCAGCTTTTCTGCCTTCCTCACTCAGAGTTGAACTTCTCTGCTCTGGGCCAGCTCTGCAGGAGCTCAGCTTTGCTTCTCTGCAGTACCTGGTCTCTCACTGGCCTCCCTCTCTACTACCTGTTTGAAACAGTGCTCAGAGCAGGAAAAGAAGAGAAATCAAAGCAGTCAAAACTGTCTTCCTAGAGCCAGGTCTTTGCACCTGCAACACACATCCAACTTGTGGCACCGCTGACCCTTTAAGCAAATAAGGAGGATAACAGCCAGGTCAAATGTGAAGTAGGTGAGGTAGGTCAAGCATCTCCTATCCCAGGACTGCTCTTCTCACAGGTGGGAAAAGCCTTTTAGGAGGAGGAGAGAAATGACCATGCTTATCCAGCTCCACCACCCCCCCTGGGCTGATGGAGTGGATCCCCCTGCCAATGGGAGGACCAAGCACACAGCTTCAGGAGAGGGCTTCTGACTACAGATCCCAAGCAAAGGCTGGATCCACCCAGTTATGCTGACGAACATGCCAAATCCTGACTCTTTCTGGGATTTAAAGGCATCTAGTATTCTCAAAACCTCTCATGGACCAGCTCAGTCCCACGCAATGGGCCAGCATTGAGGGTTCATGCTGAGGACCATTAACTGTGCCCACGCACTCTCTTGGGTGCTGATGCACTGAGCACAGCACAGCATCAGGCCCCTGACACTGGTTTAAGAATTTGACTACTGCAGCATAACACATCATGTCCTTCATGGCCCAAATGACTCCTGATTGCTTCCATATGCCAGGAACACCACATCCAGTGGGAGCCATCACTAGCAAACATTTGTAATCAGAGCTGTCCCAGGGTCCTCTGGAAAATGTGAGTCAAGGCACGTGTCTTTTGTTCTGCACAAGCACTGCTAAAGGGCAAAGTAGGGCCCAGGCTCAAAAATGACTTGGAAGAGAGAAGACAATAACACCCATTGTCAAGATGATGCAAAGTGAAGAATAGTGAGCAAATTCCATGTACAATGGGAACATTATCTCATAGGTTAACAGGCAGGTTAATGCTGTGTATGCTTTTCTCTCAGCAATGTATCACTGGATTAGACACTTGGGTAAAAGCAGAGAAAATGAGGTTAGAAGAGATCACCCCGTCTCCTCAAATGAAATCATGAAACACTGCCAGATGCCAGTTGTTCCACCTCTTTCTGGAGATAAGCAGATGAGTTGGCCAAATATAGCTGCACACTTGGGTTACTTGAGGTTAGTTTCTCATTTGCTTCAGAGCTGAAGAAATCCGTGGCCGGATTGTTTTGCCTTTCAGTGACTGTAACAGCAAAGCTATCCCACATCCACAGCTGAGTCATGTTTTCTTTGGAGACCTACTAAGCTACTCTGTTATCAGAAGAGGCAATGATGATACCATATTGCTATGCCATAATCTTGTCCATTTTACATCAAAAAAGCTACCATTAGGCCAAGATGAGAGCCTGAACTCTAATCACCCAAATAAAGTCTTCCGAGATTTGGGGGTTTTGTAGAATTAAGGGGGGTGATGGGGTGTGGGGTTGGGGGGTGGTGTTTGTTTGTTTTTACAATATTGCCTCTCCTTTTTTTTTTTTTTCCTGTAAAGACAATTGGACATAAGGGAAACCACTATACATACTCACTATATGGCACATCCTGCAATACATCCTCCTGAAGTACAGAATTATCCTCTTTTAGACGAATTCCTGGGTAGCACGATGAAAAGCCAAAAGCCATGCACAGTGACGATTCCTGTTTTGCCTCCCTCCTCACAATACCAACACCAGACACATGAAATGAATCCCAATGGCCAGCCATCACAGCTAAACCAATGAAGGCAATCAAAATAAAAGCAGTATAGCTTACCACAGTTAAAGATCTCAAAGTCTGCTGTTTACTACAGAAACAGAGTTAATTTAATATGCAGTAAAGAACAGCATGTTCCTATAGATCTAATCACAATTTACATTGGACCATATCAGAAACACATGAGATGATTTTCTGCTGTTTGTTCTTCTTGACCTTGCAGATCCAGGACCAGATCTGGCCCACAGCTCTGCTCCCACGGCCAGCACCTTTGCACCGATACTGGGTAACGTGGTGCGTGCTAAAGTGTGGGCCAGCAAACGTGTCTGAAAGCCCACTTTGGCCTATACCAAGGAAAAAGATTCCCCGCTCCTGATCTGCCTGGCAGATAGTCAAGCACACATATCCTTAATTATCTGCTGACTACATCTTTCAAAAGTATGCCTCGAGGCTGCTTACACAGATACTTTATGCAACAGCTACTTGAATATTATTGTTTGCAATTTTAAACGTGGAATTGGCCTGCAAGTCTAAACTTTCCTGGTGGAGTCATCAGAGAGTGTTGGCTAAAACTGACACCTCTTTCCCCTTATTTCTGTTTTCCCTTCCAAAGCAAACATGTGTAGATGAATTTTACATTCTCTCCAATATCCATCAGCTATGGGTTGCCTTTTTTTTTTTTTTTTCCAGCTAGGCAGCATTGAGCCTAGCATAGAGAGAAACACAGCTAAGTCCTAGAAAACATCTGGTACACACTTCATTACAGCATTGAGAGCCATGTAAGTATATAGAGAAATGCAATTAGAATAAACCATCAGGATTTGTATTTACATGGTACTTTCCATTCTTAACATCTGAGTGTTTTAGGATCATGCTTGCCATTTGAGAAAAAACAAGGCACAAGTATTTCTTTGGGAGTAAAAGGCTGAAACAATTCTTAGCACATATATGCATTAAGCCCACACTGGGGACTCTGACATCCCACGTCTGTCACACCGTCTGCTTCTCCCACCCACCACCCACCTCCGCAACAGGGTCTTCAGGGAGACCCTGGCCAGCACTCGGGTACTTACGTTGACTTCCCGCAGATCTTCCTTTGGTACCACTGCTTGCAGTTGGTGAAGTATTTCCTGTTCGTGCCGATCAGCTTCTGCACCGCGCACACGTTGGGGCTACAGGTAACGACAAAGCAGAAGAGAGTCCTGTAAGCCTCCCTCCTCTCAGTGCTGCCCCCCAACTTGGAGCCAGACCCCACCTGACAGCACCCAAAAAGCCCTGCTGGGTCTGCAGGGCAGGAAACTTTGAGAGGTGCAAGTCTTGCTCAATCTGAGTGTATAATGACTATCATGAAGTGGAGGAAGCAGTGAGAGAGATCTATCTTCACTCTGCCAGGGCATCTTTTTCTTCACTGAGTGCAAAAATATTTACTTTTTTCCATGTTCCACCTCTCCCCAAAATATAAAGAAATGAAGTTAAAAATAATACTTTGGTCAGTATTTCCATGGTGAACAGCTACTTACAATTTGGGATCCCAGCTAAAACCTGATAAAGTTATGCAATAATTCAAATCCTTCCAAAAAACCCCATTATTTTATTATGTAGGACATAAAGAAGGACAGATAATTATCAGCCCATGGACCAACTTGCACCAAAACCAGACTGGGTACTTTTGCTGTATGATAAACTCAGCCGATTCTGGACATGGATGCTGAGCTGCTGATGGGGAAAACGAGCAGTGGCACTGCCCACTCCAGTTTCAACACACCAGGTATGTAGGCACAGATTGAGAGTGGCTATATCAGCCCATAAGGTAATGAACTCTTTTTCTCAACCGGAAAAGCAGATGGTCAGTGTTACATGTGTGACTAACCCCACTGAGAGCTGACTGCAGCCTTTCAGCTTTCTAAGAAGTGGTATCACTGTGAGCAAAGATGTGGTCAAACAGGAGTTGGGAGTTTACTTGCTGCTGGTTTGGCCAGCACAGCATTTCCCCACTCAGCCTGGCTCACCATCTCCATGGGTTGTGGCCAGCAGCCCTGGACACAGATGTGGGCAACACATGGTCAGTGCATGAGATATAATTTATGGATCTGGGTTGCAAGGCCATCAACTACCTCTGGGCTTGAGCCAGAGGTGTAGCAAACACCCAAGCAAGCTGAGGATGCTCAGTCCAGCTGAGACTGGATTCCCAACACCAACACCATGCTCCAGTTGCGGCAGCGGCACCGAAAGTATGTGCAGTATTGGCTGCCAGGCAGATGGAGGGAAAACAAATAATTAAGCAAAATACATAAATCATCACTTCAGCCCATCAGAAGTGCTCTGCACCGTCCAAGGCAGAGTTTTCATTTGCACAAATGAAACTCCAGATGGGGCCTGGAGATGCTGTTGTAAAAGTCTTGTTGATCTGTTTAGCAAAAAAGACAGCAGCCTGCTTCATGCTGGGTTTGACCAAGACGCTGCCCACTTGCCTACGAAAATTAACAAAAGCAGAGTTTGCAGTCCAACCACCAAGTCTCCCTTGTGGCCGTGCTTGCTTTTCACTGGCGTCCCAAATTCAACTCTCTCCAAAACGGGCCAGCGTGCCCATCATTAGCATGAATTAACGTGAGGGTCTCCTATATGTTGGCTAACTCCAGCGCCAGTCTCAGTGGGAGCTTGGCTTGCCTTCAATGAGCCTTTGTTGATGAGCCTGCTGCAGGGCCCTGCAGAGGCAGGATCTGACCCTGCGAGGCCCTGGCACCTTCATCCTGCCCCGAGGGGAAAGTGAGGGCCCGTGGGACCTGGGGGAATTAGGCTCACCATTTCCCTTGTTACTGCCATACCCAGTAATGGTAGTTTGTTTCTGCATGAAAGCATTTAATTCCCTTTATATATATATAGGGCAAGGGACAAGGAGAAACAATCTACTGAAAAAAAGTTAGAAATCACAAAGCCAAACTTTCAGCTGGTGCAAACTGGCCCAGGCTCAGTAATTTCCACGCCAAATCATCGCTTAGAGAGACGTCTGTGCTCTCTGACTCAGCCCACCTCGGCTACCCTGGCCCCGCCACGCCGAAATATGGTTCCAATTACATCGAAATTCCAAACCTTGCCTCGATTTCAGCGTCTGGCTGACGGCAGTGGACAATCCCTCTAATATTCGTCTTGACAAGCCTGGCTACTGAAAGACTTGTTTGATCACTTCCCTCGTATCCCCGGGAGCAGCCTGCCAAAAAAACCCTTGTGCCTTCAGGACAGCATCAAACCCAGTGCTGCCTTGCTCCCTCCTCCTGCCCTGGACCACAGCTTAGCAGGGCTGCTGCTCCCTCCCTGACTTATCGGGGAAAATTTCTTCCCAGTTTTTCCTCAGTGCAGAAAAATCCGTCCCCAGGGCCGTGTTATCAATGATTCCCACAGGCAGGCTGTAGTAGCGGCTCCCCGCGGTGCATGTTCTGGTCCTTTGCCCAGTCTGGCTTAAAATGAATTTGTCAACACTCTCCCCTCTCCTCGTTGGAGTTCATCACCTCTGCCATGCCGTTCCCAGCCAGCCGCGCTGACTTGAGGATAAAACTGCCTATTGTTTCCCTTCAGCTGAAGCCTTCCACTTGGCAGGCAGCAGCTGGGAGCTGCTGGGGCAGGGGTTGCCCTTCGGGAAGAGGCAGAGAAGAGCAGGACCTACCGTACGGTCCCAGCTACCTGCCATGACGCCGCCCACGAAGATCCCCAACATCGTGTAGTGCCCACAAAGCCAGGTGAGTTTGGGGAGAGCACTCCTAGGTTTTCACCTTCAAATGTAAATGCTCCTTTTATGCTTCTCTCCCGGACTTAAGCTGATTCACTTAATGAAAAAAGTTAATGAAGATGTACAAGTTTTGCTGCAGAGCCAAGCTCTGCCACCCAACTCGCTCTCAGCTCAATAGGGGCATTGATGGTGGTGGGGGATGCTCACAGCAGAAAGGGTGGCAGCCCTGGCTGCACATCCCTCCTGAGCTCCCTCCTGCAAGCAAAATAACATGCCTCACATCCAAAAACTTGTTGGCTGGTTTTGTGTTGCTGTATCTCTTTGGCACATCATTAATCAACATTCAAAATTCAGCTGATTTTTAAAAATTAGCTTGGTATAAATTGCTCTCTCCATCAGAAAGGGACCAGTGAGCAAAGTGCTGTGGCTGGATTTATCTCAGCGTAACTTCACTTCAGCTGGAAACCCTGGCATACTAATTCCTTGCATCTCCCAAAGATCTCAGGCACCCGCATGGACCGCAATCACATCTTAGCCTGTGCCTCTATTGATTGTACAGGGAGTAACAGGCTTCTTTCTGCAGAGATGAGTGCACTGATTTACACCAGGACTGCACTAACTTACTGAGTCTGAGCAAACTTCTGCCTCAGGGCTATCGGCAGAAATGGATATTTACTTAGGTTCAGATCATGTAGCAATGAAAAAACAGACTCACTGTATTTGTAAGTAAATCACTGTAATTCTTTCATTACTGAGATTTTACAAATAGACATCAGCTCAGAATTTGTCTGTTGGATTCTGTACCTGATGAGACACATAAACAGCATACCCCTTTTCATAAATACTGACCTGGATCCCTGCCAGATAATGTATCAAATTGCAATATTTAAGTCTTGGGGTTTTTTAAAAAGCATTCCATGACCCTGCCTTCAGCAATCCATTTAAATGGAAGCTACAGTTCAATCAATGTCACCACCCTGAGAGACAAAAGCCAGCTGAAACGTCTGTCATCCTTTCACCCTTCCTAATTCCCAATAAATTTAAAAAAACATGGGAACAACTATTAACATTGGGTTAGTTTTCTACCTATCAACGAAGACTCAAACTACTCAGTCCATAACATATTGTCCATCTAGCAAGAGAGGTCTACATGCATTTTTTGGATATTCCTTATCTCAGAAAGTTTATGAGTAAATAAGTGATTGCTTTTGGCAAGAAAAGTTTCAAGACTTACTAGGGTTCCAGTCAAAGAGTGAGATGGAGCCCAGTCCATAGAGACACTCCTCTACCATTGAACCAATTTACTTTATTTTTCTATAAATCCATGAAAACAAGAATACCTTCCACAAAATGTTGAACCGTTCTAAATCTGGGGATTTTTTTTCCCCCTTTTTCCTTAATGGGGATAGACCGATAAAGAATCATTGAGGGCTCTCAAATGACATCTGCAATATTAAGCATCCTGAAAGAAAGGAAGAAAGTTATCCAAAGAAGAAAGAAAAAAAGTTCCTCGAGGATAAAAGAAAACGTCGTTATCCGAGGAAGAAAGAAAAAGTCGCTGTCCGGGGAAGGAAG